TAACCATTAAAAATAGAAGTTAGCGCATAAATATGTAATCATCTGAAGAATGTCAATCTTTAACTTCACTTAATTACTAAAATGGTCATTTAAGGGCACCTGACTGGTTTAGTCGGTAAAGTATACAATGCTTGATCTCAGGATCATTGATTTTGAACCCCATGTTGGACATGGAGCCTACTGAAAAATAAATAAAATTTTAAAAGCCTTTTTTAAAATTTAATAAAGTTTAAAAAAATAAAATGGCCATTTAAGAATGTACCTTAATGAGTATCACAAATATGTCTTTTGATTAAACAAGAATAAGGGAGGGGCGCACTGTTAAGCATCTGCCTTCAGCTCAGGTCATCATCTCAGGATCCTGGGATGGAGCTCTGCATTGGGCTCCCTGCTCAGTGGGGACTTTACTTGTCCCTCTCCCTTTGCCCCACACCCCTATTTGTGCTCTCTCTCTCTCCCTCTCTTGCTCTGCTCGCTCTCTCTCTCAAATAAATAAGTAAAATATTTTTTTAAAAATTAAAAAAAAAAAACAAGAATAAGGGATAGTTTGATTCTTTTTAAGCTTTATTTTGATTTCAAATAAAATGTCAACACAAAAGACCAATTTCACATATGCATATTAATTATGAGAAAATAATTGAAATAGTTATACCTCCTAAATAAATAGTATCAATATAACTTAAAATACTTAGTGGAAATGAAATCATTAATATACATAACCAGTCTCCAACAGATTATTAGTATTACTAAAATGTGAGTGTTGAGTGTTAGCTGCTATCATTTGTGATTTGTGCGTAAAGTGTAAACAATGATTATTGGAACACTGAAAAAAAATAAAATTACAAAAAAAGTGTAAAATAAATAGGAAGCTCTTTTCTATTTACTTAGCCATGATGAATAAGCACCTCAAAAAAACATTCTAAGTCTATCCTTTGGAGAATGCCTGGGAACCCATGTGCTACATAGGTTTTTATATAAGGAACTCTCTTATCAGTAAAGTGAAACTTTAGAAAAAGTCATATTTTGCAGTATCATAGCAAAGCTTGCACCGTGTGTAAATTTCAGTGTCATAGCAGTTCTTCATAGGAAAAAATTCTTAAAAAGGTTGTCAATCTGCAGTTTTTTGAGTATTGTACTCAGAATTAGCAGTTAACAATGAAAAAACCTCTTAAAAGCATTGACTTTCTACATTTCATTCTAACAAAACAATTCATTATTTACTTATTTTACAGTTAATCTCCATGCTAAATCTGAAAGTATGCTCTCAATAACAACTATAATAAAAGAATGTGGAGATAATGACACAAGATGATAAAAGCAAGGAAAATGCTCACTTGAGGATATAATCTTTTTCACATATAGGAGCCCTAAGTAGACATGAAGAAGTAGGAGAAATGTTCCACAAAAAGTTACCCAGAGAATTCCTATAGAACAAAAAACTATCAAAGTGAGTAGAAAACCTTCTGAGATTCCAGTCACTATTGATAAAGTCTTTCTAATATGGATATTTTGCTCTACGAAATTATGAGCAAATAAATTTTGTAAGCAGAAGTCCCTTACCATTGTTAATTAATGAAAACTTAGAGAAGAATCGTAAAACTTAGTTTTGTTGGTGGAAGTGTTTGGATAGTTGGTAAAGCAGAGATAATGCTATTTATTTTCCTTCCTTAACACATAACTAAATTACATTCCCAAACCTCCTATGTGATTAGCTTGGGCCATGTGACTGACTTTGGGCCAGTGGATAAGATATTATCTTTCAGAATTCTCAACAAGCTTTCTTCCCTCCCTATCTAGTACAGAGTATCTAATGGAGGACTCCAGGGCTCTAGAAGATGGCAGAGTGGGCTCTGAGTGACATAATGGAATAAAGACCCACCCCCACTCTCTATCTGACCCACACTGGAATGTGACATAAAGGAGTAATAAATCTTTATAGTATTAGGCCACTGAAACTTGAGAACATCTAGAAGATTATTCATTCATTAATGTATCTGTTTCTCAAATAGTATGAATAATAAGAATTAGTGGGGATTAAAAATAAAGTTTTGTACTGTGGAGGAGGGAAGAGATGGTAATTGTACTAATCTAAATATTAGATTAGGAATAGTTTTTAGGAACTACTTGAACAATACAGATTTGAATACAAATACAAATACAAGTTCATCCTTGAACAATACAGATTTGAACTACACAGGTTCACTTATATGTGGACTTTTTTTTATAAATACAGTACGGTGCTATAAATGTATTTTCTCTTCCGTATGACTTTCTTAATAATATTTTATTTTCTCTAGCTTATTTTATTACAAGAATAGAGTATATATAATACATGTAACATACAAAACATGTATTACTTGACTGTTTATTTATCAGTAAGGCATCCACCCAGTCAACAGTAGGATGTTTAGTCAAATTTTGGAGGAGTCAAAAGTTAGACACAGATATTCGACTGCACTGGTGTTGATGCCCCTGACCCCTGCATTGTTCAAGGCTCAATTGTATATGATCACAAGTATTCTGCAATTGGTTCTGTCAAACTCTTGCTTCCCCAGTCATATGCTTAATTTACATCATATTATTATGATAATATTATAAATATTAGTGACAGATGCTCAAAACATTAGCTATCACTCATTTCTTGCCATACTCTGAGCACCTTACTTAGCACTTTATATGAATTATCTCATTTAATTTCAAAGTTACCCTATGAGAAAATTTTAACAATATACTCATTTTAGAGAGGAAACTGATGTCCATGAAAATTAAGGTGATCTCACAGCTAGTAAGTGGTGAATCCAGAATTCAGAAGGTCTTTTTGACTCTATAGCCACCCTATTAATATACAACAACACATTAAGTGTAATATTTTATTTCAAAAAGTACTGCTTGAGCAATAATAATTTACTTCAACTACTTTCCCACCCACAAACAATCCTATCGTTGTATGGTCATGTTGTACATCACAAAAAAGGCCAAAAGGAAAAGCTGATCTTAGCAAATATATTATAATCCTGGATCTGCCCCTCATAGTGAAAACCTTACACCCTGATTTTATCAACATGCCAAAAATCCATCCATCTATTAAGGGTAGATGCACAGTAATCATTAATGTTTTGACCCATAAATCAAGTTATTCATTTATGATGAATAATTTAAATGAAAAAAAAAACTTCACTGAAGGAATATAGTTAATTACTCACCTAAAGATAACTATTCTTTTTTTTTTTAAGATTTTTATTTATTTATTTGACAGACAGAGATCACAAGTAGGCAGAGAGGCAGGCAGAGAGAGAGGAGGAAGCAGGCTCCCTTCTAAGCAGAGAGCCCGACCTGGGGCTTGATCCCAGGACTCTGGGATCATGACCTGAGCCAAAGGCAGAGGCTTTAACCCACTGAGCCACCCAGGCACCCCAAGATAACTACTCTTTTAAATGATATACATAAGGGGCACCTGGGTGGCTTAGTCAGTTAAGAATCTGACTTTTTTTTTTTAGATTATTTTTTTTATTTTTTATAAACATATATTTTTATCCCCAGGGGTACAGGTCTGTGAATCGCCAGGTTTACACACTTCACAGCACTCACCATAGCACATACCCTCCCCAATGTCCATAACCCCACCCCCCTTCTCCAAACACCCCTCCCCCCAGCAACCCTCAGTTTGTTTTGTGAGATTAAGAGTCACTTATGGTTTGTCTCCCTCCCAATCCCATCTTGTTTCATTTAAGGAATCTGATTCTTGATCTCAGCTCAGGTCTTGATCTCAGGGTCCTGAATTCAAGGCCTGTGTCGGGCTCCACATTGGACATGGAGCCTACTTAAACACACACACACACACACACACATACACATATATATATATATACACATATATATATATATACACACACACATATATATATGATAAATGATATATATGAAATCTATGTGATTAGTATATATCCTTGAAGCAGAGATACTTTGGAAGCCAAATAATAGAATATTACTTGAAAAACATGGATTCAGAATGAAGATATTTTTGTAAATAGAATGTTTAATAGCTTTAAGTATAAATAGCCAGATACTCATTCACCATATGAACAGCCTTGTCTTTGGGACTGAGGTTCAATGGAATTAAGTTCCACTCCCTCATCTCTGAACCATACTTGGATAGGCTTTAGCCCATATTGCTTCTGACTTTCCTGTTATCTGCTTCCATGACTAAAATTCCTTCTGTGGATATGTCAAGACCTTCAACTAGTTTATGTCAAACCCTGCTGCACAGGAATATATCTGTTCTTTTAAGAGAACTTTGCACATCCTTGTACTGATCTGTTTTGTGCTGCTCTTGAAATCCAACAATCCAAAGGCAACCTCATCTTGTGTCCTTCATTTCAAATCTTTTGCCAATATCTCTCTCATAATAGTCTATAAGAATAAGAAAAAAATGACAAGAATTGAAAGAATTAATTCCAGGATAAGATAGTGCTCACTGAAAAATCCTGCCTATTTATGAGGAATTAGAGAGGATAAATAATAACAGATGTTCTCTTTTTCTTTTACATAGTGTCGAAGCAGTGTATCCACAGGATTCAGTTAATCATGTTAACATACATCTTGATTGCTGGGGTAAAGCTTTCCAAACTCCTCTTACAAGAGCCACCATGTTTCTCTTTATAATGGTACCAAACCCCATGCTAGGCTAGAACTGTTGCTCTGGAAGGAAGAATGGCCTAGAATTCATCAAAGCTGTCATACAGTGTCAGGGAAAGATGGTGCTTTGCCAGTTGCACCCCATCAATGAAAAACTAAGCTTGTTCAAGCTTTATGCTGCCACCATGCCATGCACTTCAAGAGCAAAGTCCAGTGTCACAGTCCTGGTGTTCCTTTTTCTAACTAGGAGAATGCCAAGAGCACTTTCCCACAAACAAGTATGTGGGAGATAGTAAATGCAATAACGAGCTTAATTAAACCACCAGGGTGCTTCAAGACTGGAATGATTCAGTCAGACAGAAACAAACAATTTTTATTCCTTTATTGTTGTTTCTTTTTTATCTGTGAGCCAGGGGGTGGGAAGAGGACCAAGAATTCAGACATGGGAAAGATCTGGATGAACTTAGGAACTATTCTAGTAGTTTAGAGTCTGGAGAATGCTGTCGAGAAAAGTATTACAAAAACAAAAACCAGGAGGAATGCTGAAGCAGCTTTCTCTGGAGACACAGCATGCATAGTTAGGGAGTTCCTAGACATGTTTCTGCCTGGATCCAGCTACTTTTCCTTGAGTTGGAGAACACATATTTGGAAACCTCTGACTGACAACAGCACACTGATGAGTAGATATCCTTTGATGTGAAGTGAATGATCATGCCATCAACCTTCATAGTACTGGCCAATGAGAAACCTCTGAAAATAACATGAAAAGAATAAAAAAACATAAATGATCAATAGACAAAAGGCAAAACTTCTAATAAGAAGAGATAAACAGACAAAGATAAAAATTAGGTTACAAAAGCAAAAGTAATTTTAAACTATATTAATACCATATTTGTAATTTTTAAAATTTTTGTAGTGTTATAGCATGTTGTTACATTCACCAAATTTTATTTTCGTTAGTAGAACTAATTGATAATAAAAGGAGGGAAATGCCATTTAAGTAAGCATCATCTGTGGTCTATGGTGTCACTGTAAAGGTTCGGTAAGATCTGAATACACAAACTATTTCAGTAAAACAAAAAGAAAATACATGAAAAATTGTGTATAATTGAGCATACACAAAGTTACCCTTCCCAAAAATTATGAATAAAAATTTTTAAAGAATTTAAGAGAAAAAAGGTCGAGTATTTTTTTAATATGAGGGATCCTAAAATTCTAATTATCTTACTTTACCAACTGAGAAAGACACAGCACATCAAACTCACCATCATATGGTTTCACTTGGTCCTTCTTAATAGTTTACTATAGTCAACAACAAACTGTACCATAGTAGTGGAGAGAAATCAAAAGAAACAAAAAACTCCAAAAGACAAAAAAAAATGTATATATGTGTGTGTGGATGTATGTATGTATATGTGTATACACACACACA